ATGCACATATTCATATTAATGGGAAAACTGAAATATCTCTCGTTCAGCATCACTGCTCCTTTTCCTATTTTTAGGGAAGGGTGGAAATAATAGAGCAAAGGGCATTTCTCCATCCCCATCCAACATGCAAACAGAAATCTATTTCTATAATCACGGCCCTGGGTGAGATTTAAAAGCAAGCAAAGTAGTTTAGCTCCTAGCCAGGCCCAATAAATCACAGAAAAGAATCAGATCACAAGCATTTCAAAATGTAACCTTGGCAACGCAGAAAAATGAACCAACAGAACTTAGCCTCCTTTGCTTTATTTGTCGTTTCTGAAATTGGAACTGAAAAGGAACGTTCACAACGAAGTCAGCAGCAAGAAACTACAGATACAAAGGGCTTAAATAGAAGACATTTATCTCCGCACACATTTTCATTTAGCCCTTCCCAATCTAGTGCCCTCCAGATGTATTAGAACTGCAACTGCAATCACATACATATAGATATTACATATATCTATCATGCTGTTCCCTTTCAGGATAAGCAACATTATGCAGAGAGTAAAATGGCAATAAGAAATAGTAAGTCAATTACATTAGAGCATGAGACAAGAAAATTAAAGGGAAATATAGCTAAATCTCCTGTCAACCCTATAAAGTAGATCAGTCTAAGAGACCAATGTCCTATAGGTCAGGACTACCTTTATTGTCAGCTATAGTAACAGAATCTCTTTTAAGTCTGAATGTGCTTCTCCCCTCCCTCACTTTATCTTAGTGTGAACTAGGGAGGGGCCTGTCTGAGATGTCTATTCAAACTAGTTTCCTGGAATGGGCTCGAGCTCTCTTGTCTGATCGTTCCTTAGTAGCAGCTCTTCCTCCTGTCCTTCAAGGCCATTCTCTATACTCTCCAAATCTACTTTAAGAGTTTATATTCACTATTATTTCCTATACCTTTCTATCTTTGCAAACCACCCTTGCTTCCTTCATAAACTGCTTCCTATGTTGCCTTTTTTTCTTTAAATTTCTCACCTCTCTCTTTTCGAAGATCTCATCAACTCTAACCAACCATATGACTTTTTTGGTTTTCTCCTTCCTCTTTACTCATGCAAGCTTCCTTCAAGTATTTGTTTTGTTATTCAGTCCTTATTCATTTTCTGTATATAAGCAACCTACCTCAATATATTTATTTCATCTTGGTCGCTCATATTTATATTCTACCCAAGTTCATTTATGGAGACTGATGGACTAGGAACCAGTGGTTCTCAGGCTAGACAGAACAATCATTTAAACACTGAGTAGATGTCCCTCAATTTCAAGGCTGGGAAGAAAACAGCCAAATTTCTGTTGATTCAGAAAGGTGAGAGGAAAATTTCTAAGATTAAACCTGGAACTGATCTGATTTTTATGTTCTATAGGATGCAGGTCATATCTATCTAATCTGGTCTGCAATAAAACAGGTTAGCTAGTAATTTGGATTCTGTGAGCTTCTCTGGTAAGCAAGTCCCTGAGTATGGGGTTAAGTGTCTAAAGAGCAGATGTTTATTGCTGAATCTGTCTTGAAGTGCGACATTCAACACCAATTTATCCTGACCTTATCTCTTCTTGTTTTACCATACATATTTCTTAAGTACCCCATTCCTTCTGCATTCAACTTTCTTGTTTCTCCTGGCATATCCATCTCTCTCACATATTAAGAAGTGGGCAGAAGCATGCTTTAATATACAGCCCTTTTGCTTCTTTTGACAAATATACATCCACACAACAGGCCACATTATAATTCTACCAAAATTACTTTTTTAAAAAATATAAATGTTATTATGTTTTCCAAAAATAGCTATAAGACAGAAAAATCAAGAAAAAAGAAAGGGAAAAAAGGGGGGAAAGAAAAAAGGGGGGAGGGAAGAAGAGGGAGCATAAGGTATAGATATAGAATATATTCGCCTCTTACTCTACTATCTAAAAATTTACATAGTAAAAAAATAGTTTTTAATATAATATTCAGAAAAATTCTACCAAAATTTCTGTGTTCATTTTCTTACTTTTAGAAGTATTTGAACAGAAATTCATCTTCCATTTGCCATTTACCTTGGTTTGTTCATTTATTTATTTATTTTGCCATTGATTTATAATTTGTAATCATTTCTCCAATGTCTTTATTCTAATTCTATCCCTACCTTATCTTCCTACTTGTACTGGAATAGTATTTGTACTGTTTCTTTCAGTCAAGGACCCTAAACTTCTAAACACACCCCATGACAGGGATATTACACACCTGTGTCTTACTCCTTGCAAAATGTTGAACAATTTACTAAGCATTCCATTTATTCTCACCCATGCTTTAATTCTGTCATATACCACTCTTAATATGTTCAGCAACTAACTTTCAGCTCCATATTAGTACAAAATATTTCATAATTCAAACCTATTCATTTTATCATCTTCTTTGTCCAAACCAAGAAATATACATTAACCTTTCTTTCTCAATGTAGTCTGAGGAAATTCTCTGGAAAATACTGTCACAGAAAAATCAGCTAATTATCTTGGTTCTATCATTTAGAATTAAAAGCTCACCTAAAGGTCCATCTAAATCCCATTACTAGAGAGGAAAATGGCTGATGCCAGAGTGATTGAAAGCAAACTATTTACATCCCCAGAACAAACAATGCATGGCTATCACAGAATCTGCATATGTTAGATGGCTATTTATGTCTTATAAATAGAGAATGTAAGCAAGAAGCATGGTTTGATTATAGTATGATTAACCTATCAAATCCTACTTCAATGTATGTGACATTGGGCTTTGTCCAAGGGCTCCACAGCAGGTCCGCCTTGTCTGGGAGCGGCCCCCATCGCAAGGTAATGCCAGGTCCTCCCTCGCAGATTGATGAATAAGATAACATTCAATAAAACTACTTATTTTCCTCTTGTTTAAAAATGACTGTAATCTTGGAATCTCTTCTAAACTAGGAGGAATTTCCCTGTGCAAGACAAAGCATTCCAATCTCACCTTTCTGTTAAGCGCACAGAAGAGAGCAAGAACATATTTAGGGCACATTTTATGCAATTAACAACTTTCACCCATTGAGCGCTACACTGTCTAAAGGCTTTCCTTTTCTGGCATAATACGTTCATATTCATACATTATATACATTACTCAGTATATACATTTCTCAGTATACATCCCTATTTAGTGGTTCTGCGGTTACATCATCTAGACTTGCAGCCTGTCAGGCCCAGGCCCAAGAACAACGATGAAATGGTCCAGTTGAGTACAGTTCCTTTATTTGCTTACACCTTATAGACAGAATCTTGCCAAACTAAACCTACAGTGGGGCAAACAAGTATTTAGTCAGCCACCAATTGTGCAAGTTCTAGAAGAGGATTGGGAGAATGTCATATGGTCAGATGAAACCAAAATAGAACGTTTTGGTCTAAACTAGAAGAGGATTGGGAGAATGTCATATGGTCAGATGAAACCAAAATAGAACGTTTTGGTCTAAACTAGAAGAGGATTGGGAGAATGTCATATGGTCAGATGAAACCAAAATAGAACGTTTTGGTCTAAACTAGAAGAGGATTGGGAGAATGTCATATGGTCAGATGAAACCAAAATAGAACGTTTTGGTCTAAACTAGAAGAGGATTGGGAGAATGTCATATGGTCAGATGAAACCAAAATAGAACGTTTTGGTCTAAACTAGAAGAGGATTGGGAGAATGTCATATGGTCAGATGAAACCAAAATAGAACGTTTTGGTCTAAACTAGAAGAGGATTGGGAGAATGTCATATGGTCAGATGAAACCAAAATAGAACGTTTTGGTCTAAACTAGAAGAGGATTGGGAGAATGTCATATGGTCAGATGAAACCAAAATAGAACGTTTTGGTCTAAACTAGAAGAGGATTGGGAGAATGTCATATGGTCAGATGAAACCAAAATAGAACGTTTTGGTCTAAACTAGAAGAGGATTGGGAGAATGTCATATGGTCAGATGAAACCAAAATAGAACGTTTTGGTCTAAACTGAGAACTTGCACAATTGGTGGCTGACTAAATACTTTTTTGCCCCACTGTATACTACAACTAGTGGATATACCCTGTGAGATTCTAGGGAGTGGCTTTCCTGAACCTCTTACTCTTCTCACGCTCCCCCTGTGGACTGTGTTGCCTCTTGCCTCCTTTCCCCTGCTGGAATGCACCCCCTCCTGCCTGATAGCCTTCATCTCCCACATCACTCCCCTCCTCGTAGATACATTCCCTCACACAGCCTTACAATTTTTCAGTATCTTCTCCACGTTTATGACATCATTTTCATCAACTTTTTCTTGAACGCTGACATCTATAGCATCCATTCCAATCCCACACCAATTGTGAAAATGTGATTTTTCATATTTTGTTACTGTTAAATAGCAACAGTGCTGAAAAGCACTGCAAAATAGGTGTGTTGAGATTCTGCAGCTCACCTCCCCAACTGGAAAAAAAACATGTAATACTCCTGCTCCTTTTGGTGACTTCACAATGTCACAATCATGTCTCAAAGGCCCCAAAACTAAGAAAAAACATTACAGGTAAAACAAGTAGTCCAACTCTGGGCCACACCCATAAGTTAAACACAGTATTTCCAAACCGTGGAATAGCAATAGGATAGCAACAGGAATATCTTCCCCATCAAATTCCAAGATGGTTCATTGTCCAATAACTGAACCAGACTGAATCAGCAGCTTGGATAATTACAACCATTTAGGGTATAAATCATGATGAGGTCAGGGATTACACTGGGGACCTTCTGGATGCAAAGCATATATTTTACTCTCTTGCTTCTTGATATCCCACATCTAAGCACTCTAACTACTAGGAAAACAATCCCAACATTTTCTCACTGTCACAGGAATAATCATCTTATTAGAAAAAAATGAAAACAACTACATACAGCAGCACAGTTATCTGCTATTAAAAGGCTACTACCAAACAGGCCTTACATTTTGTTATGCCAAATATACTAGAGTTGTTAATTACTTACAAGGCACAGCATGGCGATAAAGGTTATCTCTAATAGTCTGTTGCAGCTCATGATCTGGAGATCCTTTCTGAAACCTTTGGTTGAGATAATGTCTCAGGTCTTTGTTCAGACGACTTCCTAGAATGAATGAATGAATGAATGAATGAATGAATGAATGAATGAATGAATGAAAGAAAGAAAGAAAGAAAGAAAGAAAGAAAGAAAGAAAGAAAGAAAGAAAGAAAGAAGTAAGTCAACAATTGAGCATAAAGGGGATTAATGTCTTCAGGTCTGGTGAACATTAGATTTACAATTTGTAGCTGCTCTGAATTATATGTTCCTTTCTTCTATAGATGGCTGACTATCAAAAAATAATTTGTTGCAAAGATGTGATGTCAGTGGCTTTGTAACCCATCTTTCTTTTTTCTTATTCTCCCCCCCCCCCATCACATCACAGTACTTTTTTGTTAACACAAAAAGAAAGGACATAGGTAAAATGAAAATATTAAAAAGAGCAATATTTCTTTTTCTTCAGTCCTACTCACCAAGCTAAGCAAAAGGCAAAGCGATTAATGCAGCACATCTACCTGTGATAGGTTTTAGACAAAGATGTAGATGATAAGGGTTACAGGAATGATGTTGCTCAAATGTAGGAGCTACAGTATTAACATGATCTTCACAACAACAGGTTCTAGGTACAGTACAAACATTAAGTTCTACCCTTCTTTACATATATTAGAGAAGAATCTGTTGCTCCCATATTATACTCATTAATCCATGCAGATTTCATCCCAAATGGACTTCTTACATGCAAATATAAACCAATATCACTGGGAACAACTGAATCTGTAGTTTAAGATCTTAGTTTATAAACCAACATGAAGCCAATTTGGCATAAGAGAATGTCTGGTTTAAATGAACCAGTTAAAGCCTAGTACATAAACTGAAGTACAAATGTCAGCATTCAAGGGCAAAATCTATGTGCTTGATTTTGCACATAGATTCCTATTCATTCTTGACCTATCCAAGCTGGAATAAGTAAACTGGAATGCCAGCTTTTCCTGTGAGCGCTTTCTGGCTTCCCCAGTCTAATAAAAATATGTATGGAAGTACAGTAGATAAAAAGAATGCATTCCCCACTTTAAATCTTCAGGTTTCTACATTAGAAATGAATCTTACTTCTTCTAGTGACCAAGCAAGATACAAGGGATTAAGTTAAATTTATTATAGGGTAATGAACTGTTTATTCAAGTAAGTAAAATATTATGGTAGAATATTCTGCAGCATCAGCATAGAAGAACGATGTAGAATATAAATCATGTGTTTTCCTCAATGTTCATAATCATATACATCAATAAATGCAGTCATTAGTTATCTGGTCACAGACCAGTAGGGATTTAACATGGAGTAGTTAAAATTGAATAAAAATAATAATCGAGAATCTTCTAAGTTTTTCTATAGAAACAGTTCTCTATTTAAGACTAATCACTGCTCTGGGATGGATGGATGGATGGATGGATGGATGGATGGATGGATGGATGGATGGATATCCCAACTGAATTCCCATTAATTAGCTCCTTCCAAAGCAAATAATCCATCATTTTTTGTTTGTTTGTTTAAAGGGGGAACGATTAAGAAACTTTTCTCTTTGATACATAGTCAACTATTCCTTATAAGTCCCAGAAGGCCTGACAAATTCATTCTCCAGACCTGCAAAATGATTAAGCAGAAATTAAATTGTTCCACGAGGGCAAACACCCGGAGGTCTGAATATACCCTCTCAAATTCTACCACTATCATGTTTCAATTTGACTGTGTATCCTTCAATCGTTTCATGAAAAAATAACTCTACGGGCTTTGCATTTCATGAGAGAGAGATATCCTTTACAAAAGCCACAGTTGCCTGGAAACGACTTTTTTATAATTTATTCCATTCAGCTGGGGTTGCCCTGCTATCTGCTGCCCATCAGGCTGCTTTAGATGAAAAGTAGGTTCATTAAAATAAATGTGTCTCTATCAATAAAAATACAATCATAAGAGAAGCCAAAGCTAAGATGATGATGTTCAGCTTAATGGATCTCCCTTATTTTCTAAAACTTTATTACATAAAGAAGAGAATATATGTAACTCAGAGTTGAACTATGGAGTCCTTGGTGTGGAGCAAACCCCACATTCACTTGCACTGATGATGCTACCTAGTTGGATAATGGAACATCTGCAAGAAAACAACCAAGCTCAGAGCACCAAGGACTCCACATTATTACATCTTCTAATTATACAGAGCTGGAGAAAGAGATAACTCCATCGCATGTTTATTATTCTACAGTTGTTTGTGCCTTGGTGAAATAACATCTAAATAATTTCAATGTGTTTTCCATAAAGTTACTTTTGGAGTGCCAATGTTTACTCCAACCCAAAGAGATTGGCACTGTTTTCAGACTGTCTTCCGGCACAAGTCAAAGTTTTGGTGTTATATGTAAAGATCAAGCACTGCCCAAGATCAAGCTCTTTAAGGGCCAACTATTCTCCCAAACAACGATCTTAACAAGCTGTTAAGATTTAGAGGAAATATATTTCAGGATACCTTACTTGCAGAAATGCAGACGTAAGGAAAGAGCTCTCTGCTACATTGCTCTCAAATTATGGAATGTATTTCCCTAAAAATGACTGGTTACCTCTTTCTGTGCTTTCAACAAAGGGGTCCAAGGCATTTCTTTTTAACTTGCATTTTAAATTGTGGGGATTTTTAATGTTATTTTTAAACTAATATCATTGTTTTATTCCTGTGACTCCTGTTTTAACATTTTAAATTTTTAGATTGCTTTATGATGGTTTGTTTTTGTTTTAGAAAACTAGAATATAATAAAACAAATATTTTGTTTGGCAACAATACTATTCCAGAACTCCTGCTTCCTGAAGACAGGAGAGTTGCAAAAGAACTGTGAACACACAAATCAGGATCGTTTTGGTCTTCTAAGTTGAAAAAAAAAATAGCCAGTGGTTATTATACAGATTTGAATATTGAAAGTAATCACTGCAACTTTCTGAAATATTCCCCTTCCTTCCTGTATTTAAATAATCAGGATCATAAACTATATAGCAAGGTAGAAAAATATGATTTGAACAAGTCAAGGTCAGCATACAATGATCTGCAACCTACATTAGGACTCTTTACAGATGAATATGCTATTTCATTTAGTTTCCTGGATAAAGAAACAGTTCTCAGAGCTTGGTGGGAAAGTAAATTACATGGCTTCCAAGAGCTGGCTTTGAAAAGTAAAAACTGTATTCTGCCAATGCTCTCTTTATCAAAAGCAGCAGCTGCCTTTTGAGTTTCTTGGCCCATTTCTTGAATTATTAGTCAATAGTCATATTAACACTGGTATCAGAAATACAATACACACTCCCTGTGTATCCCTCCTCTATCAGAAAATCCCAGAATGGAATTTTTGAAATTTTGACATTATCTTGTAATTGGCATATGAAAACAAAGTTTAAAGAGCAGGTGGATCAAATGCCTCTGAAAATGATAATTCCTCCTATTAAAGCAAAACTGCAGAGCTGAAAGCTCTAAACACCTACTTTATTGAATTCATAAGAAAAAAGCTATTTATGTAACTGCTGACACTATACATTTGAAGTGTTGTCTAGTGCTGAGTAAAGGAAGAACATTAATATTCAGTACACACGGGAAATCCAGGTTCAAATGCCTTCTCAACAATGATTCTGTTTTAATTAACTGGGAGAGCCATTCTCCCTCACTGTTGCTATAAAATGCCCCCTTAAGAGGGTGCTTTTTGGATCTTCAGAAATGCAGGAACACAAGGGCACAGGTCATTCAATCTTTTTAATTCAAACCACCATCTTGCATAAGAACAATGATGGGTAGGACACAAGGTGTAAATTGCATATATGAATTTGCTTCTTAGGCCTTAATCTAGCCATTTTTCAATTGGCTCACAGTGAAAAGAATGCAGAGACTTCTTTAGATATGGTTGACTGATTGATTATATGCCATCAAGTCAGTGTCGACTCAGCGACCACACAGATCAGGGTTCCCCAAAGTGGTCAATATCAATCCTCAAGGGTTGATGGGACTATTCTTTATTGTTGATGCCATTGTTGTTGTTGTTGTTATTCATAGTACTATTAGTTAAAGTAGCATTTATTAAATTATTTTCACATAATAAATGTTTGGGGGTCGATGCACAATCTGAAACTTCAGGAAGGGGTCAATGAGCCATCAAGTCATTTTCGACTCCTAGTGTCCACACAGATAGTTTTTCTCCACTATGATCTGTCTCTAACCTGGTTCTTCAGATCTTCCAATGGTGCACCTATTGCCACTGTAATTGAGTCCATCCACCTTGTTCCTGGTCATCCTCTTCTCTTTCCTTCCGCCTTTCCCAGCATTACAGCCTTCTCCAGAAAGCTAGGCTTTCACATAATGTGTCCAAAATACAGGTAATCCTCGACTTACGACCATTCTTTTAGCAACCATCCAAAGTTACAACGATGCTGAAAAAAGTGACTTACGACCATCGCAGCGTCCCCATGGTCACATGATCAAAATTCAGGCACTCGGCAACCGGCATGTATTATGATGGTTACAGGATCCCAGTGTCACATGATTGCCATTTGCGACCTTCCCAGCCAGCTTCTGACAAGCAAAGTCAGGGAGGAACCGTGGGATTCGCTTAATGGCCATGTGATTCCCTTAACAACAATGGCAAAAAAGTTTGTAAAATTGGGTGTGGTCACATGATGCATCACTTAATGACCACACCGCTTAATGATCAATTTTCTGTCCCTATTGTGGTTGTAAGTCAAGGACTACCTGTAGGATAATTTGAGCCTGGTCATTTGTGCCTCAGATGAGAACTGTATGTTGATTTATTCCATTTTTTATGATCCATTTTCTTGGCTGCCTATGGTACTCTCGGGAGTCTTCTCCAATACCAAAGTTTGAAAGTGTTAATACTCTTTCTTTCTTGCTTTTTCAAGGTCCAACTTTCACTTCCATAGAGTTACACAGGGAATACCATGGCTTGCACTATTCTGATCTTTGTAGGTACAGACATATCATGGCATTTGAATATCTTTTCCAAGGCCTTCATGACCGCTCTGCCAAGTCCTAGTCT